ACTGATGGAGAAAAACTTAGGTGCCCCTCTGTACAATATTTCAGGCACAAACGGGCACGGGAGTAGAACCACAGACCTTCAGTAAGCTGGCTGGATAGTTTCCCAACATTTAGACTACAACAACACTTGCCCAGCTCAAACCTACATCAGTAAGAGGCAAGTGGCTTAAAGTCAACGACCTTAACATTGTTTTAAATAAAGTGCATTGAAGTATACAGCATGACATTCATAAATGCATAGCAGTTTGTCACAGTTACATTGTAAAATCAATTTCAAGTTGTAATGAATTGAGTAATTATATTTTTAAAAAATCAAGTATGAATCAGACACTGGCTTTTAACAACATGACACAAATTGTAAACAATGACAATAATTCACTACAATCTTTCACACTTCTCATTAAACATACATGGACAAATATAAATAAATACCTCAAAAACACCTCTCCATTATTCATAATAAGTGTACACCCCTATCATAAACTATGACAGATGAGTCTTATTTACAGTATGAATACATGCAACCCATTTATCATAATAATAAAACCCTTGATCTGATAAAACTCTACAAATGAGTTGCCCTGCTTGGAAATTGGAACAATCCATTTGCAGTTTCAGGTATTTTAATTATCAAAATACCAAAAAAATGGATGATTGTACAGTCTGGCCTAGCTCATTACTGAGTGGCAAGGGCTCATCACCTTTTGTTAAAGCCTGGTAAGGGTAAACTGCTTCACAAATAAAAACATCATGTTTCTACATTTACACAAATGAATCAGGCACTCTGTAAAATGTTTGTTGGGGGGAAAAATCACATAACAATTAAAATACCGTTTTTCTTAATAGTGATATTCTAACTTAAAAAAACTTGGTGTTAAAGACTTTTTTGAGAACTTAAAAGGCTGGTAAAAAATACAAATTCTATTATTGCAAACACTGAGTCTGTGGCACAGATTAAAACAATGTACTACAAAGTGTACATGCAGTATGTGCTGAACATATGTAATTTACTTTACAATAGTATCCTATACACACATTCTTGAATCATTTATATTAAAGTCAATCTGAAAAATTATTTCTGTTTTCACTGAAACTGTTGACACAATAATAAACCTAGAGTTTTTCTAAAGAAAGATATTAATTTAATGAAGAAAGACATCTTTGATTAAACATTTCTAATTTTTACTATAACACTAATACATATAGTTATACCATATAAAAGTTCTCATTTACATGACAATTTATCTTTAATTTCAAAATAAAATTATGCATTAAAAGAAACAAAATATAAAAAAAGAACCTACATCATGTAGAGCCTTTTTATGTGAACTAAAAATCAAATACCAGAACAGGTAACCTTTTAAAAATTTTGTTCTTCAGGCAGCGATAATCATGTATTTTGATATCAAAACATATATCATTGAAAGCACATCTTAACTTAAAATTTTCTCTAGAAAAATGATTGGTACAATAATTTTGCGCTCGATATTTTGGATTTTGAGCCAAGACTACTCTTGATTTTACTACACAATTATTAATTTTTATCTTATCTTTGTACAGTTCCTAATCAATCATATAATTTTATATGTATCAATTCTCCTAGACTCAACTGCACAACAAAGCACCATCAATTCTATTTAAGTCATTTGTCTTATATGCTAATTATGAATTTATGTTTAAGACAATCAATTGACAGGTGCTCCTCAAATTGGAAAAAAAGTCTAATAATAACCTAAAGAGCTAACAAGCAACTGTATCAAAGCTCCTCCCTTGCCTTCAGTTTCTCATATGCCTCTGGGGCGTGTTTAGGCATAAGTTCTTTCACAGCTCGTACAAAGTCAGATTTTTCTGAGCAACCTTTGCATGCTTTGTCTTCATTCCAGTCGGACAAAATTTTCTTCAGATCTTTGACCTTGAGTTTCTTAAAGTCGACAGCTGTTAGGTCAATCTTCTTTTCTGTAAAATGCAAGAAAAACATACCATAAACTATCTTCAAAGCAATATATTTTCCAAAGAGGAACATGTATTGGATTTCTGATCATTTGTTAAATACTGCTCATTGTCCAGTATATGACAGGAAAAGTTGGGGGTTTTGGGTGGGGTGTTAATCAAATGTGGTGTGAAAAAAAAGATATTTTAAGCAAAGGCAACTGATTTTCTCATTTCTTTCTCAAGTTGCTTGACAAATAACATAAATAACCATAAGGCCATATCTGATATTGTAATGTGTCAGTTTTTCTAGTTAGCATAGTATTCAACTTTCCCAGTAAGCTGTTAAATTACATGTGAAAATCAAATGATAATTAAAACTGCTTAAAATGACCAGTAATACATGTATTTATAGGAAGAACATATAAATTGGGACATTATTAAATCAATTCAAATGTCTTCCCTGGGAAAGAATTATAGAATAAAGTCAAATACTACAATTCTATTAATCTAATTTAGTAATTAATTATTTTTTTTATAGAATATTACTAAAATATACTTCCCTTTAAAAATTTAAAGTAAATAAAGCTGGAACTGGCAAAGTATTCTGTAATAATTTCAAGAACTATGAATTTTAAATCAAGTTGTTTCCATATTAATTATTCTCTTACCTAGACACAGGGTCTTTCAAATTTAAAGACCCTGCTGGACAGCATATAAGCAAAAGGTGTTTTTGTTATTTAAAACACATGAAATATTAGAACAGAATAAAATGTTCTCAAAATGAAACAATATATCAAACTATTCAGCTGTTAGATTAAGTTGGCATCTGCACAGTCCAGCTTTATACATTTTAAGATACAAGTTTAAAATACTCACCATATTTCAAGTCGCATACTTGTGAATCTGCTGTCCTAAGTTTTTCACAGGTTTTCAAATGAGGTAAATGGTTTTTAAATGGTGAAGTCATCATTTTCAAAATATTTGTTGCCGAAGTGTCTGATCCTCCAATATAGTAACACTAAAATGTATAAAAGGTGAGTGTTGTTATAATTAAAGCTAAGACCAGCTTTAGATTGACAAAATAAAAGAGTACATCTTTAATTGTTCGAGGTATCAGTTTCATGACCAAAATCGAACTTGACCTGTATTTTCTCATGACATATCTATTATCCACATGCCAAATTTGAGTTGAATGTGTGCAACCGTTACTAAGATAATGAACGGAAACTTATGATGACGGAATGACAAAATGACGGAACAGGGTAACACTATATGCCCCAGCCATTATATGGCGGGGGCATAAATATCTAAGATGAGAGATTTTAACAGTTTATGATATTGATAGGGTTCTAGTTTAGGAAATTCTACACAGCAATACTTAAATAATTTAATAAAATTTAGGAAACATTAAAACATGCATCAATTATCATTATACTCACAAATCTGTCCTCTTTGCTGTTTTTCAGTGTTTTACAGAATTTCTTAAAAGTGCTTTCAATTTCTGCTTCTTTTTTGTCTTTAATGCCAGGATACTCTTGCTCAAATTTCTCCAACACTGTTACACATACTGAAAAAAGATTAAATTTTTGTATTGAAAATTTGCAGAAACCAATTTGAAAAAAAAGTGCACAAAGTAATATTTTTAAAGGAGAACCTTTTTTTTTTTGTTATCAATATTAAAACAGTGTGAAAGGGCTTCATTATTAGATAAAACATAGTTTTTCAGCTATGATGAAAGTTTAAAGCTTATTATTAAAGATATACTATGCTCAAATTTCACATTAGAAAATACTGATAATAGCTACACAGACTTTTTGTAAATATAAAATTAACATGTTTTGACTTAACACAAAATAAATATTTTATGTTTAAAATCCTCCACACTATAGAGGGTCACAATATGAATACAGTGTTATTAAAAAAAACTGGCAGTTTTTTAAAGAAAAGACCAACTTTACTTGTTCTGTAAAAGGGAATGCAGCTTCTCATGCATAAATTATTCATGCTTTTATTCAAATTAGACATATTTAGTAAGAATCCGGTCTAAGAAGTAAGATTTCAATAAATTACTGTGATTAAAATATTTTATCAAGAATGAGCATAGTATATCTTTAAATACTTTTTAAGACTAGCTGCTTCCTCGTACTAGTGCCATATAAGGACACGTCATAATATATTGACCTGCCAAAGCCAAATTCTGAGATATTTTCATTCTGGGGCAGAATCTCGCTTCTAGAGTTGAGTATTGCCCAATGCCAGACACGAAAATAGCACACTATCTCATTGTGCAGTACAATTAGTTGGACTAATAAGGAAACATGGCTGTAGAATTATGTACTTATAATTCATTTATGTTATCACTATAGCAAGTCTATACTTCCCATGATTCTCTGTAACATGTATTCCCGCCTTAATGTATGCAGCTCCAGCGCACTTGGAATTAGTTAATTAAATAGTCAAGACACACTTTGTGTTAGTTGTTTATACAATGACTTAGATGTCATTAGAATATTATGGACTATTGTCTATACAAAGTACCAAATATTACAATGGCTGTGACCCTTAGTCAGTCTGTGAAATTAGCAGTTGTCCTATTGCCCAAGACAACCATTTTTTGGTCTGGACAACCAATTTTTAAAAGTTTACTTGCCGGATGGACAAGTAAAAATTTGCAGAAAGTATTCATTAAAATGTCAACAAATAGTGGTAAAATGCAAGATATCAAGTACTATTAGTTTGCTTACATTTACGACTGTTTCTCACTGAAGATAAGTTTGCAGATTTGATTAATAATTGCTTGGGGATGTTCTGATGAAAATATTCGGGCAACCAGTTTTTACTTCAGACAACCAGATTTTCTTGAATTGGTTGCCCAAATGACAACAATCTTTAAACCCTAATTTCACAGACTGCTTAGTTTATACAAATTTATTTTAGTTCCATTGTGTTGGAAGCTATAAGCTTATTGAAACACTCTCGAATCCGTTTCTGGAAGCAACTAGTACTAAGCAATGAATGTAAAGTTTCTTGCTCAAGGAAACAACGACTTGCTCCTGACAGGGTATGAACTCAAGTGGTCAGCAATCGTAATTTTACTAGTCTGATGCGTTAACCACTCGGCCACGCCACCCGGGCTGTGACCCTTGTAAGACTAAGACTCATACTAGTCCAACTAATGTACTGCGCGATGAGATATTGTGCTAGTTTCGTGTCTGGGCAATATCTTGCCTCTAACGTAAAAGAGAAAATATCTCAGAATCAAGCTTCGGCACATCAATACATGTTGACTAAGACTCATACATACTATCACTGGGTTGACACATAAGAAAACCTAACCTCTATGTCACCATTTCACATAACATATTTGACTGTGTGCGAAAGCATATTAATTATATTATTTTTTTGAGCTGGCTCTTTCAATCTTATTCTTAAATTAAGGCTTAAGCGATAGACATCCTTCAATTATCATGCTTATGTTACAATGAATATAAAAATTACATTTATTGATTATTCTCTTTAGTAGAAATAAAACAAATTTCCTTACTCAATGACATTTAAATTAAAATGAACATTTACAGAAATAGTGAACATGTAATAAAGAAACAGAACTTAAACTTAAATTTTAAAAAATAACAGAAATAACTATCACACACTGTATTAAAGTAATAAACATACCATCACAATCCTCTCTCGTAAACGATTTCTTAGCATAGCTGACAGTTACTATAGCGAGAACAAAGAATACACAAAGACACACCAACTCCACCTTCATCATGTTGAAATGTTGATCAAAAAATGTAAACACAGAACCAAAATCTGAAAAGTCAAAATTTCTTTTGATATTAGAATGAAAGAATCCTATTCTTTTACTGTTATTAAATCTTTGGTGTTAGATAAATAAACTGTAACAAACAATGAAAGAAATAATGCCGTATGTCAAGTAATACAGTAAAAATATTATTGAAGTTTACTTTTTACCAACGTGTGCTATGAAGTACTAATACATTTGTCGCAACCTGATTGGATAAAATTTACCGGCAATTCACTTCCGGATAGGACGGGCTCTCGCGAGCAAATACGTGATTAAAGATGTCAGCCGCCTATGGGGTGCATTTTGGCTGCTCGTCAGCTTGCTTAGCCGTAAATAAGGTCCGTTTAAGTCTAGACGCGTCTGAAGATTGTTTTTTTATATCAAATTTTTTAAATTACCAATTTTTTACAACTGTGATGCTACTCGACACGAAATTTGGTAGTAAGAACAGCTGAAAGTTATTTACTCAAGTTTCGTACTCAAAATAATTCGAACCATAAATCTTGTTAAATATGCAACTAAGTTAATTAATTAATGATATGTAAATAGGCAAAGCCTATAAACGGGGAAGTCAGATAAAAACAAGTCCCTTCATTTTTTATTTTACATTTTTCGTTTTAAACCACTACAGGTTTCTTGGTATTTCATACACTGGTTCAATCAGAACACCTCAACGATTATTTTTATTAAGCGAAAAGTTGTGATTTTACTGTTAACGGACTACCTTGCCAATTACCAGGTCTAGTATATCGCTAGTCCTATAGCATAAGACGTTTCTGTTAGTACACTTCAGCCTCATTAAAACGCTCATGTTGGGGTCCAATGTCTCACCACCGCGTTCTAAAGGGGCTCTCATTAGAACGCTCATTGTGAAATTACCGCATTACCCCACCCACCACATATTATATATAACGCTGATTTTTTTTACTTACTGTTCAATGAATATCGACATTATCTTTTTCTAAAGCCATTCAATGATGTAAACATGTATTATATTCACAATAATACTAATTATATTTAAAAGAAACGAAAAACTTTCGAAAGAAAATTATAAATCATTAATGTAGTGTAAACACTAACAGTTAGCCATTACTGTAATGACGTTTGATTAACTAGGGGACACAACTAAAGCTGGACTGTAAATAACACTGTAATTTACAGTCCAGCTTTAGTTGTGTCCCCTAGTAAATCAGACGCCAATTACCACCTGTCATGGCCGCTCTATTTACAGTGCAGGATTTTAAATTGATTTTGGGCTTGTGGGTTATTTAATTCAGCCAGGTTTACATGTCAAAGATATGTGTGTGAATTTTAGTTTATTTATACTGTACTCACCACCGGTTGCCAATGTCACAGTTATGATATGAATTTGAGATTTTGGAAACAATTTGAAGACAGGTAAAACAACAAAAGAGCAAATAAACGCTTACCTAGGCATGTTTTTCACACCTTTGGCGCTCATAAATGTCTTAATAACAATTGTTTATTGTACTTGACTGTCAAATTGAGCAAGCGTTATAGCGCGCTATAAATCTAAGTCTACTTAAAAAAAAAAAAAAATTTTTTTGGAATTTTTTTTTGGGGAGCCAAGGTCTATGAGCGCTCTACTGAAATAAGCGTTATAGTGAAGAGCAAGTTATCGAGGCTACAGTGTACTACGTACACTCCAACGGAAACGTCTTGTGTTATAGGACTATTAAGTATTATAATAATGCATGATGCACCAGTATATTCATAGAAATATCCTGAAACTTAAGATATTGATGTAAACACTGGTAATTCTTGCACTTTTTTTGAAAATCTGCTCAATACACTAATTGGAAGTGGTTATTTTTTTACTTTCCAGTCAAGAAACAATTTTAAAGAACAAACGTAAAGTTGACTTAGACAAATACAAATTCAAAATGTTCTATGAAGAACTACTGAAGTTAACTATACAATGCAAAGTTTGAAAATGATTTCTTAGAAAAGGAATGTAAATTGCCCATGCTTAAAATGATATGAAATCACTCTCATCCAATCACATTCTTATACTTAACAAATATACAAGATATTTATTGGCACAGGACATAACAAGGACATAACAAGAGACAGTTCACTGAGCATAGTAACTCACAACAAGAACAAGACATTATCCATAATTCTATAATGATGAATGAAAATGATGTCATGTGATTATGCCTGAATGAATGAAAATGTACAGTTAGTTATTCACTACAGTGATTACAAAAAATACAACTGTGTTTGTAAATATAGGATGAGTATACAGATAGGCAGTAAATTGACCTTATCTACACTAAGTATACCTGATCAGAATAATAAATAGATATGAAACATGGAAATGAATTCTTCCAACATGTTTTCAACTGAAATCATTTCAACAGGTATAAAATTGAATGACAGACAAGTAACTTTAGGTAATTATCGATATATCTGTGTATCATTGATATTTGTCATCCGATATCGATATATCATTGATATGCCTGGCCTTGAATAAATGACATCTCTACAGTACTCAAATCGGAAAGAAATCACTTGTGTTAATATAATAATTGTCTTATTATAGTTAATAAGACATGGTTTTAAAGCATTTATTATGAATAACTGTCATTTCTCCCGTGGACTTATTAATTAAATTCCCCATTTCAAGCAGTTGAAAAAGGCTTGTTTTTCCATGAATATGTAAGTCTTCAGTAGTAAACAACCACTAAAGACCTATTGATTTTACGAAATAAATTTATATCTGAAAAATAAACATAAATAACAGGAATTGTCAGGCTTGTTCTTGTTTCAAAATTTATATCTTATCTAAAATACAGTTACTAATGATGAAAAAGCTGTAGAAAAAATTGTTGATTTTGTACAAACAAACTTTGTTGCTATAAATTAGAAGTATATTGTATATTTACATTTGTTTTAAATTATAGTTCTCACTTCTGTTTATTGTATAATTTTAGGATGATAAAACAGATGTTATAGCCAATGACCTTGGTGACCGAACTACACCATGTATTGTTGCTTTTACAGACCACGATCAGGTATGGTATCTTTGTCTCTGATCTAGGTTATTTCTCCATGAAGATAGGGAGATGTCACTTTGATAAGTGTTTAATTTAGTGGAGTATGGGGGTTTAAAGAAATCTTTATTTCAAGTCAACATTTTAGGACAGATGAGTGATATGCAAGAATTTTTTAAATATTGTGGATTTAAGCATATTACAGACTGCTTGCTTAGAGAGAATGGAATTAATTTTGCCATTACCAGAGAAAATTCAACTGCTGCAGATAGAATTTAAATACAATTATTTAGATTTATAGATTATGATGTTCTTCATTTCAACATATACTGTATGACAACTATTAGTATCATTTAACTTTAAGGTTTTTACAGTAACAAATAAAGGTTAATTATGTCCTTGTATAGGTAAATTATATTCATTTTTTAATGTAATTTGCTAGGGGTGAAGTTAGAACCAATTATGATGTGAAATAACTTGATAAATTGGCTCAAACCTAAAAACAAGACAGGCTGTCTTCCTCCTGTATAGTGAAAAAAATCACAATATATGATTATAATCACTGTGATATACCAACCAAACTACAAGTCCCATATAGTGTATACATGTAGGCCGCCATATAGTTATCGCCATAAATAATGTGACTGGTATCCCAACCAAACAACAAGATTTGTAACATTGTTGATTGTTGTCTATGTTTGTAGGCTGTGGGTATAGCAGCCAAGCAAGGGATGATACGTAATGTACAGAACACTGTCTGTCATGTAAAACAAATATTAGGTAGAAAATATGATGATCCAGTTGTAACAGAATATAAGAGGAAATCATCTGCTCAGGTAACTTTTACATCATTTTAGATGAAACAAGTTTTTAAGGTTTCATTTTGCTAGAGAAAATGAAATTATCTGCTAAGGTAACTTTAACATAATAGATTGAAAGAAGTTCGGCTGGAGAAAATGAAATTGAATTTATAATTCACTTTTGAAAATGTACCTTGATTCATCATTTTGATTAGACCACACATTTTCTATATCAAATGAATATCTGTTTTGTAACCTTAAATTTCACCAACCAGCATATAGCCATACTTAAATAACCTCAACCATAGGTATTCAACTTGATCAAAATAGTTCTGTGGATGATTTAAATAAATATTAAAAAGTTATTTATGATTTCTTTCACATATTCATTTTTGTGAATAAGCAGTACAGTGAAGAAGAATTCTAAGTAATTACTTTTATATATTCCTGAAAATCTATTTCTGCAGAAAGGAACAAGAAACAGTCATTGTATTAACTTTTTAAGGTTTTTGTTATTAAATTTATAATACTATTTAAATATAATTATCTACTACCGTATAAGTGGTTTTTTCTGCGGTGACTTTATTTCTGCGTTTTCTGCGGTCAGTTTCAGCACCGCAGAAATAAAAACCGCAGAATATTTCTCCATGTTTGTTTTTAACGATATGTGTCCTACATTATGACCTGTTTCCTCTAAAGTAATAACGGCTAACGGATTATAACAGCGGGTCATCAAGTAATATAAAATTGCTTCCGGCTGAGTATGTAATATGTGCTTGTTAGGATGTACTTATTGTTAATTATGCAAATTTATGAATAAAGATATTTAAACATCATAGTGTTTACCTGTACGCTAAAAGGTTTGTTTACCACTGAATCATTAAAACCATTTTAACCCTTATACTGCTAAATAATCCTGGCATACATTAATTGTTGTCTGATTTACGATAAACTTCTATCAATTTTATTAAATCAAAGATACTATACGGGGTATATTTTTCACACGTCATTTCACGCTGATCAAAAGATGCATTCTGTCTATTGTTGCGCTGCAAGCAAACAATATAATTGTTTGGAATTGCTATATAGTTTTGCGGTGACGACGATAAACAAAATTTTAATGCGAATGTGTACATGCAAATGAAATAGGTAGAGTAAAGTGACTAAGACTTTGATAAGATGATCCGCAGAATTTAAATCACGTTTTGTCCAAAGAATGTGCCGCAGAAATAAAGTTCGCAGAAATAAAAACATGCCGAAATTTGGAAAAACCGCAGAATTTGGAGCCCGCAGAAAAAACCACTTATACGGTATTATGTATTATATGATTATATTTCTATGGACATTATTCAACAGGTTTTAGATCAGAATGGGGAACCAAGATATGAAGTGGACTTTAAAGAGTCGAGAAAAATATTCACACCATCTCAGATTGCTGTTGCAATCTACAAGAAGATGTTAGGTTAGTACTGCAGACAAATGATTCAGAAATCTTTGTTGAAATTTACTTTAACCAGAATAATTTAGTGTAATGGTTTTGCCTTCCTTTGTTGTGATTTTTAAGATATTTCGACATTTAAATTAAATGCTTAAAGTAAAATTTACATTTTAGTGAATCATACAAAGAATGTAAGATTTCATGCTAATTACATAATTATCAGACTGTAATTATGTCCATTATGATTATAAATGATTCACAGAAATATGATTATCAGGTATGGCAATAACATCTTGCATAAACCAATGCCCATAACTGTTTGTGCAATGGATGGTACGAAAGTGGGAAAAGTTCATTTCACAAATGGAGCTTGGTAACAGTAAAGCAAGATGTGAATTATACGGGGAAGTCAAAGACCGGGCCCGCGAAGCGGGTTCGGGCTTTTGCTTGCCCGGCTATAGACTACACGTGTATATGTAAAAGAAAATCAAATAAAAAACAATTAAAAAATATCATTCAAAATGGTGCAATGGATGGTACGAAAGTGGGAAAAGTTCATTTCACAAATGGAGCTTGGTAACAGTAAAGCAAGATGTGAATTATATTGTTGTTGTTGTAGAAACTGCACAGAGTCATGGAGGAAGTGGTTCACAAGATTCAGTATTAGCTGTACCCACACATTTCAATACAGATCAGAAGAAGGCTATAAGGTAGAATACGTATTTATGTTTACACATTCTGAAACTATTATTAATGTTTATAACACTATACAAGTATTGTTCTGTCTGTTACCAGTTAAATGTTTGTTTGCATTGGGATATAAAATCTTACCTTGTATAAAACATAGAGGATATTGAAAGAATGTAGGTTCAATACTAAATGAAGTGGGCGAGTTGAATAAAATCATATTGTGTTAGCCTCTGGTGAACATAATAATGTTCTGTTCAACAAGTTCAATAAATTTGATATTGAACCTACACAAATATGATGTTCAATTTATCAAGTTTCCAAAATTAAAACAGTTTGCAGTAAATATGGTCATTTTTAGCTCGACTATACGAAGTATATGGAGAGCTGTCCTACTCGCCCCGGCGTCGGCGTCCGCGTCCAGATTTTAGATTAAAGTTTTGGTGCAGTAAAATATTTTTCACTATAACTTTGTCATTTCTTAAGGTATCAACTTCAAACTTTAAATATATGTTCCTTATCATCAACCACATCTTATGTGACAAGGTTCATAACTCTAGCACCAATATTTTCAGATTTATCTCCCCTTGAACTTAGAATTTTCCTTAAAAAATACTATTTTTTACTGTTACTTCTTTATTTCTTAAGGGATCAACCTCATACTTCAAATATATGTACCTTATCATCATCCCCATCTTATGTGACAAGGTTCATAACTCTAGCACCAATATTTTAAGATTTATCTCCCCTTGAACTTAGAATTTTCCTCAAAAAATACTATTTCTTACTGTTTCTTCTTAATTTCTTAAGGGATCAACCTCATACTTCAAATATATTTACGTTATCATCATCCCAATCTTATGTGACAAGGTTCATAACTCTAGCACCAATATTTTCAGATTTATCTCCCTTTGAACTTAGAATTTTCCATAAAAAATATTATTTTTTACTGTTACTTATTTATTTCTAAAGGGATCAACTTCATACTTCAAATATATTTACGTTTTCATCATCCACATCTTATGTGACAAGGTTCATAACTCTAGCACGAATATTGCAAGAATTATCTCCCCATAAACTTAGATTTTTTTACTAGAAAAATGTTATTTTTTATTATAACTTTTTTATTTTTAAAGGTATCTACCTCAAACTTCAAATACTTATTCCTTATCATCAATTACATTTTATGTGACAATGTTCATAACTCTTGAAGCAATATTTACAGATTTATCTCTCTTTGAACTTAGGATTTTCTTTAAGAAATATAATAACTTCTTTACTTTTTAAGGTATCTACTTCAAACTTCAAATATATATTTCTTATCATTACACAAATGTTGTGTGACAAGGTCCATAACTCTAGCATGACTATTTCTAGAATTATTCCCCTTGATCTTGGAATTAATGTTAACAAATGTTATTTTTTTACTATAACTTAATACATAATTATACATAATTGATTTTTCTTTTATAATTTGTCCTCCTTACTGCGTCCAGTATTTTATTAGTCGAGCTTCGCTGTCTCCTGTGACAGCTCTTGTTTCATGATGCACCTGTAGCTGTAACCCATTGCATGAATAAGCATCATATTGCATTGTTATTACTCTAGTGTAATATCATCAATAAATGGCTTTGTGGTTTATAAGATCAATCCTACTTTGATAACAGGATTTATAGATCCTGTATGTTGTAATTAAGAATGTAACAACCCTTGAGGGAATTTTTTTTTTTATATGTATATAATTATTCTTATAAAACAGATTCCAAACATCCAAGAATATGTTAAATATGTACTGTAAATAGTTATTCGCATTATAAATAACCATAAAAATCTATGCATTAATTTCTTATTGAAAAATTTCACTTTGACTTTATTGAAAATATATTTCTAATTACCTCCCTTTATTTACATGAAATGTAACTTTGGTAATTTCTTACAAATAATGCTTTTTTTTAACTTAAAATATTGATAAAACTTCATTTGAGCGTCAGATTTATGATAATAAACCATAAAAAAAATGTGTTACAGAATCTTTAAATAGCTTTTTCCTTAAAAGTTTATTTATTATATGTTTTGCTTCAAAAAATTTGTTCAATCATTATATTCTATAAATACTGATTTGTTTGTTTTAACAGTTCTGCAGCAAATCAAGCCGGTTTCAACATCCTTCGTATGATATCAGAACCAGCTGCCGCCCTCTTAGCTTACGATGTTGGTCAGACAGATGTAACTTATAATGGGTAGGTTACGTTTTTGACATTTTTATGTAATTTTTTCTTCATACTTTTAAAATGTTATCAAATCCTAATTTATAAAAATGGCCATATTCATTTAGCTATGTCCAGATATGGAACAGCCTTAAGTAATTGATCAGAACTGAAAAAAGGTATACATCTCCGAGTGGTGAAGGTGGATTACTTCACACCACTTACCCTCACCGCTGTTGGTTTTGAATCCCGCCAATAACATAGGATTCTTTCATGTGATAAAGTTATCCAATTATCTTACAGAACATCGGTGGTTCTACTTGATTGCTTGTTTATGCGTGAAATAATTCACTGAGGGGCACCTAAGGTCTCCTTCCACCAGTAAAACTGGAAAGTTGCCAAATGACCTTTACTGTGTTGGTGTGAACAAACCCAAAAAGAAAAGAAAATCTTTAACAAAAAATTTACGTAACATGAAACAATTTGTATATTGTTTAACTTAATTTCAGGTCAGTGTTGGTGTTCAGACTAGGGGGTATATCAGCGGAGGTCTCAGTGGTAAATGTTCACAATGGCATGTACCAGATATCTACATCAGTTACAGATTCGACTCTCGGTGGTGACCTGTTTACAGATGAACTTGTAAAATATCTTGTAATGGAATATAAGAAGTAAGAAATATCCGACGTGAAGAAATCTTTATGACTCTTGATAAACTTCTACTGGTTATATTCTGTACCATGGTTATTCTTGAAATAAATGAAGTGAATCTTTAGCATATCTTGAAATATTCAGTAATTTCACTTCTTACAACATGTATATCTACTTTCAGTTCGTAAAAAATGGATTTATTTATTATTTACCATGTTACTTTGATGAATTGGGATTTAGGATGTCAAGTAGATCTTCCTAAAGCTAATTTGAATATAATCTCATTATACATGTATATGAACACTTGATTTCAATATGACAATAAGAAGGCAAAGGGAAACAACTCAATTTTGCATTTTCATTGTTAAACATATCTGGCATACATGTACTTGTGCTCCTAAAATGATCCAATTTCTTCGTTTTAGAAATTTTTTTGTTATAAACCTTAGATAAGGATGATAATATATTCTTATTATATGCCCGAAAGGGCATATTATGTTATACCCCCTGGCGTCCGTCTGTCTGTCCGTCCGCACTCACAGGAGAGTAATTATGTGGCTAGAGGGACAATAGGTAACTGTTCTTTCTCTTTGATGTCATTCATTCTGTAATGCTTTTATGTGGCTATTTTCTTTTGTGTGGCTAAAAAGAACAATAGAGAGAAAAATAGAGTAGCCACATAATTACTGTCCTGTGAGAACTTCCGTCGGTCCGTTAGCAATTTGGTTTCCGGAGCATAACTTAAGTTCCATTTGGCCCACAATGTTCGAACTTTTTAGGATGATTGTCCATATTGGGTAGAAGACTCCTATTGATTTTGGGGTCAAAGGTCAAGGTCACTATGACCTTAAAACTAAAAACAGTTTCCGGAGCATAACTTAAGTTCCATTCGACCCACAATGTTCAAACTTCATAGGATGATTGTCCATAGTGGGTAGAAGACCCCTAATGATTTTGGGGTCAAAGGTCAAGGTCACTATGACCTTAAAACTGAAAACAGTTTCCGGAGCATAACTTAAGTTCCTATTGACCCACAATGTTCAAACTTCATAGGATGATTGTCCATATTGGATAGAAGACCCCTATTGATTATGGGGTCACAAGGTCAAAGGTCAAGGTCACTATGACCTTAAAACTGAAAACAGTTTCCGGAGCATAACTTAAGTTCCAATCGACCCACAATGTTCAAACTTCATAGAATGATTGTCCATATTGGGTTGAAGACCCCTATTGATTTTGGGGTCACAAGGTCAAAGGTCAAGGTCACTATTACCTTGATACTGAAAGCAGTTTCCGGAGCATAACTTAAGTTCCAATTGACCCACAATGTTCAAACTTCAAAGGATGATCGTCCATAGTGGGTAGAAGACCCCTATTGATTTTGGGGTCACTAGGTCAAAGGTCAAGGTCACTATTACCTTGATACTGTAAACAGTTTCCGGAGCATAACTTAAGTTCCATTCGACCCACAATGTTTAAACTTCATAGGATGATTGTCCATATTGGGTAGAAGACCCCTATTGATTTTGGGGTCACAAGGTCAAAGGTCAAGGTCACTATTACCTTGATACTGAAAACAGTTTCCGGAGCATAACTTAAGTTCCAATTGACCCACAATGTTCAAACTTCATAGGATGATTGTCCATATTGGGTAGAAGACCCCTATTGATTTTGGGGTCACAAGGTCAAAGGTCAGGGTCACTATTACCTTGATACTGGAAACAGTTTCCGGAGCATAACTTAAGTTCCATTTGGCCCACAATCTTCAAACTTCATAGGATGATTGTCCATATAAGGTAGGAGACTCCTATTGATTTTGAGGTCAAGGGTCAAGGTCACTATATCCTTAAAACTGAAAACAGTTTCTGGAGCATAACTTAAGTTCCATTTGGCCCACAATATTCAAACTTCATAGGATGATTGTCCATATTGGGCAAAAGACCCCTATTGATTTTGGGGTCACTAGGTCAAAGGTCAAGGTCACAATTACCTTAAAACCAAAAACAATTTCCGGAGCATAACGTAAGTTCCATTTCAAACTTCATAGGATGATTGGCCATATTGGGTAGAAGACCCCTATTGATTTTGGGGTCACAAGGTCAAAGGTCAAAGTCACTTTTACCTTAATACTGAAAACAGTTTCTAGAGCATAATTAAAGTTCCAATTGGCCCACAATATTCAAACTTCTTAGGATGATTGTCCATATAAGGTAGAAGATCCCTAATGATTTTGGGGTCACAAGGTCAAAGGTTAAGGTCATTATCAATAACTTAAGTATTAATCAACCTACAGCTGTAAAATTTTATAGGATGAACAGCGAATTCCCATGTCTTACAAATGCTTCATTCTTACTAAAAAAAAACACTTTCGGGCATATAATGCTCCGCCTAGCGGTGCTCTTGTTTACAATGTCTAGACACAAAGACAAGGTTTTATCTGCATGTTTTTAATATAATGTTGATTATATTCATCTCTGGTACAAATTTATAAATTATTTATTATCTTCAACAATGAAAAGAAAGTGCCATATTTGTTATAAAGATTTTGACAGGTTATATGGTCAATGGTTGTTTGCTGTGTTACTCTTGCCAATATGATATGTCAACTATATATACTGGGCCATATAACATGTCAATACAATCTTGATAACTAGAATCACATTTTAGCCGCGTCATGACAAAACCAGCATAGTACGTTGCCACCAGCATGGATCCAGACCAGCCTGCGCATCCGCACAGTCTGATCAGAATCCATGTTGTTGGGTATCAGTTTTTCTACTTGTTATAGAGTTGGTAAGCGAACAGCGTGGATCCTGATCAGACTGCGCAGATGCGCAGTCTGGTCTGGATCCATGCTGGTCGCAAATGCATTATGTTGGTTTTGTCATGGCACTGCTCATTTGATCTTTCAGGAAGAGTCGTAATGACATAACTGATAATAAACGGGCCATGGCTAAATTACGTAGACAAGCGGAGATATGTAAACATGGTATGTCCAAGATGGACAATGTCCACTGTGCTGTAGACTCATTATTTGACGGAATGGATTTTGATACCAAAGTATCCAGGTAATGTTAAAACTATTAAATCATCAGAATATTGAGGTCTCTCTGTCTAGCATTTATTATTTAAGTGTGTAATGATTTTTTATGCCCCCGGGCATATAGTGATTGAACCGTCCGTCCGTCTGTCCGTACGAGGTTAACCTAGAACGGCAAGTTGGATTTTTCTTAAGTTCTACCTGTACCAATTGCTTCTAAGTTTACACACTTACTAGTCAATACAAAGTACATGATCTGGGCAAGTTACAAAACTCTGGCTTTCATATTTACCAAGTTATTGCCCTTTTCAGCACTTAGAAAATGAATAATGGTTAACCTAAAACGGCAAGTTGGAAATATCTTAAGTTCTATCTATACTAATGGCTTTATAATTTCCACACTTACTTATCAATACAAAGTACATGATATTGCCAAGTTATATAACTGTGTCATCCATATTTCCCAGTTATTTCCCTTTTTTCACTTTGAAAATAGGGCCTTGTCTGGTTAACCTATTTCAGCAAGTTGGATTTATCTTAAATTTCTCCTAATTGCGTAATTTCTTTAATGATATCTTTCATATTTAGTAGGTGGATACCTTTGATTGTCCTCTAATTTTTTGTGGAGTAAGCGGTCTCTAGGGTCAAGGTCAAGGTCACTGGTTTAAAAAATAAATATAAACATTTTTGCTCATACAGCCTTTATATTTTAGTTGATGTTTTAGTTTAATACAAACATGCCAAGGGAGGTCCTCCTTCTGGTGTAGTAAGGGGTCATTTGGGTCACGGTCAATGTTACCAATGTCAAGGTCACCAATGTTAAAAATAGATTTTTACATTTTTACAGGTGTATTGACCTTATTCTATAGACAGATGCTATTTATAATTGATAGAAACATAAACTTTGATGGAGTTAGTGGTCAGTTGGGTCAAGGTCACCAGTGCTAAAAATAGATTTTTACACATTTGCTCATACAGCCTTTATTAAGTGACAGATATATTTTATATTTGGTAGGAAGATAACTTGCATGGTATTCATCCTTTTGATTGGGGTAGGGATCAGTGGGTCAAGGTCAGTTGTGCTAAAAATAGATTTTTACACTTTTGCCCATACAGCTTTTATTTATTGACAGATGTATTTCATATTTGGTAGGAAGATAACTTGCATGGTATTCTTCCTTTGGATGGAGTAAGGGGTCAGTTGGGTCAAGGTCACCAGTGCTAAAAATAGATTTTACACTTTTGCCCATACAGCCTTTATTTATTGACAGATGTATTTCATATTTGGTAGGAAGATAACTTACATGGTATTCTTCTTTTGGATAGAGTTAGGGGTCAGTTTGGTTAAGGTCACCAGTGCTAAAAATAGATTTTATACTTTTGCCCATACAGCCTTTATTTATTGACAGATGTATTTCATATTTGGTAGGAAGATAACTTACATGGTATTCTTCTTTTGGATAGAGTTAGGGGTCAGTTAGGTCAAGGTCACCAGTGCTAAAAATAGATTTTTACACTTTTGCTCATACAGTCTTTATTTATTGACAGATATATTTTATATTTGTTAGGAAGATAACTTGCATGGTCATCATTTTGATTGGGTTAGGGAACAGTGGGTCAAGGTCACTTGTGCTAAAAATAGATTTTTTGAACTTTTGCCCATACAGCTTTTATTTATTGACAGATGTATTTCATATTTGGTAGGAAGATAACTTGCATGGTATTCTTCTTTTGGATAGAGTTAGGGGTCAGTTTGGTTAAGGTCACCAGTGCTAAAAATAGATTTTTACACTTTTGCCCATACAGCCTTTATTTAAGACAGATGTATTCATATTTGGTAGAAAGATAACTTGCATGAAGTTGAATATTTTTCATCTTCACAAGTCAGAGCAATGACTTGGCAACTTATATTTTTCACAATTACAAAATGCTATGACTTTGTCAAGCTATATAACTTGTGTTTACAATTTTTTGGAATTTTTTTGTCCATAACTGAGTGAATGGGTAAACATTTTTTGAAATATTGCTACTGACAAGAATCTGAGCCGGGGGCATTTGTGTTTAACAAACACGTTCTTGTTTTTGTATGATATTCATAACTCCTGGAAAATTTTGGACTTTTGTGTGCCAAAAGTAAAAAAAATAGCAAATTTCTTCCATACCAGCACCATTTACAGGAACTTTATTAATACTGCAGTTTTGCAATGTTGGTTTTAATTGGAAATGTTTGTATTAATTTTTATATTATCTATGTATACTTTGGCTGCAAATGTACGCATTAATTTTTAATTTTTATCAAAGATGCAGCACTATAAATTCATTATGAACACTTATACTAAATGAAATAAATTGTGTTTTTAGAGCAAGATTTGAAAGTTGTGTTAGTGAACTGGTGCAAAGATGTACACAATTAATCGACCAGGTGCTTTCAGCTGCAAAGTTGACACGCAAATCAATTAATAAGGTAAATAGACTTTCTGGTTTTCTTATTAGCTTTAAACCCACTTAATTACATGTAGTATATAAGACTTGTCCTGTCTTGAGTTTGACTAATTTATAGGAAAACACATCTTACCTTTTTATCAATTATTACTATGTCCAGAGCTTCTATATTTGGCATATATAGCATTGCCTTGTAGACCTCTATAAAAGTTTTATAAACCCTTACCTTGGGTAAAAAATGTAATGTGGATTTATCCCCCAAATAATAATGTTCTCCCTCAAAGTATCAGATTTTTATGCTGAACACTGTCCCTTGAAAATTAAAATCATAATGAGAGCCTGAAAATATACCCTTGTGGCTGAATAGTTGCTTTTAATGGTTGAGGCATAAGAATTGCACCACCGTTCATACCTATGTCATCGTTAGAGGTGACTAAATGGGTTCAAATATCTGGATTCTATGCATCTCTTAGCCTCCAGCAGGTAAGGTGGTGTTGACCTCTGGTGTTGCTTGAAGTTTGTAAAACCCGAGGTTAGCCAAAATTAACTGTCCTGTTTTGGCACCATATGACTTAAATTGTGTTGGTGCGCCTTAAAACCAAACAAATAAACAATATCAAATATCAGGTGATGATATATGAATGATAATAGTACATAGAGGCATTTTAATAAAGATTGATTTAATTAACATATTGAACCAGTGTTATGAAATATAATTAAGCTATAAATGATGAGAACTTTTATTATCAGGTTATAGTGTGTGGAGGCGGGGCCAATGTTCCGGTTCTTCAAAAAACAATTACAGACATGTTTTCCCACTGTGATATACTCAACTCTATTAATCCAGAGGAAGTCATTGCTGTAGGGGCAGCAAAACAGGTATTTCAGTTATTTATCGTGTTCAGTGATTATTTGGTAGGCAGCATTTTAGAAATCAGGTTGTAGAAGGCATGTTTTATATTAAGTAGTTTGTTAATGTGTGTAGATTTTTAGTGCACTAGAACTGAAGATGTAGTATAAAATATCGCAAAAAGGCAAATGATTGTGTCTGACATCAACAATTGACTTCTTTTCTGGGAGGGAGATAGGGGGCACCAGAAATGAAAATATCTCCTTACTATGAATGAATGGATGGATTATCATCGAACATTTATCTATAGCATTCTTAAATGATCGTCTGTCTAGTTTACTCAAAAGAATTTGGCTGACCTCTATGCTTACCCAATACAGATAAAAGAGGAAATAGTTCTGAAAGACTTCTTCAGTAGATAACTTGGTTAGAAGTTACTTTATTAAGTATGTTCAGCCCCATTTAAATGCTATCCAGAGATATAAATGATGAGATATATTTTTTTTTTAATTGTTAATCTATGTAACACATTTTAATGTTTATGATGCAGGTCTATTGTAACTGTTTTGTTTTACACTGTTAGCTTTAAGTTGGGGGTTGGCTGTAGTGTTACTAAAAGTTAGAATGCGACATGACTGAGTGGTTAACGCGTCGGACAAGTATTACTGTAATACTTGGTACCCCATCCGGGACAAGTTGTTGTTTCCTTGAGCAAGAAACTTTACACTTATTGCTCAGTAATGGTTGGTTCCAGGAAAGGATTAGAAAGTGTGTCTATAAGCCTATAGCTTCCTACACAATCAAACTGAAATAAATTCTGTATAAACCAAAGTTTGTAAATAAATAATTAAATAATAATAAAAAAACAGGATTTTTAAACAAAAAGATTAAATTAAAATTCTATTAAAGTTAATTCAATTATCACTTACATTATCATGTTTGTATTTTCAGGCAGGAATTCTGTCTGCACTAGAAGATGAAGACATTAAGCTCAACACCGAAGACAAGACTATAGATTGTATATCTAAACCTATAGGCATCAGGGTAAGACTAATATATATATATTGTATATTTTAACCTATAGGCATCAGGGTAAGACTAATATATATATATATTGTATATCTTAACCTATAGGCATCAGGTTAAGACTAATATATATATATTGTATATCTTAACCTATAGGCATCAGGTTAAGACTAATATATATATATATTGTATATCTTAACCTATAGGCATCAGGTTAAGACTAATATATATATATTGTATATCTTAACCTATAGGCATCAGGTTAAGACTAATATATATATATTGTATATCTTAACCTATAGGCATCAGGTAAGACTAATATATATATATTGTATATCTTAACCTATAGGCATCAGGGTAAGACTAATATATATATATATTGTATATCTTAACCTATAGGCATCAGGTTAAGACTAATATATATATATATATTGTATATCTTAACCTATAGGCATCAGGGTAAGACTAATATATATATATATTGTATATCTTAACCTATAGGCATCAGGTTAAGACTAATATATATATATTGTATATCTTAACCTATAGGCATCAGGGTAAGACTAATATATATATATTGTATATCTTAACCTATAGGCATCAGGGTAAGACTAATATATATATATATTGTATATCTTAACCTATAGGCATCAGGTTAAGACTAATATATATATATTGTATATCTTAACCTATAGGCATCAGGGTAAGACTATTCTATAGATTGTATATCTAAACCTAAAGGCATCAGGGTAAGATTAACCTATAGATTGTATATCTAAACCTAAAGGCATCAGGGTAAGATTAACCTATAGATTGTATGTCTAAGCCTATACGCAATAGTGCCAGTTTACTGAATACAATGATTCTTGGTGCCCACCTGTAACTGAAATAACATGCTGTGGAACATTACAGTGTTTCTTTTAACAGCTAAAGCTGGAAATTATCAAACAACCTTCAAGTGTAACTATGAATGAAAACCCAGTAAACAAGCATGTAAAACTGTATGATTATATTGCTTGAATATCAGAAAACAAAATTTGTAAAATTATTCAATATCTATTACCCTGTTTTTGAGTTATGTTGATGCCAAGCAAACAAAGTTTTAAAAAGTACTGTTATTATTGAATTGTATTTTTATTTGTAGACACAAACAGAGAATGGAAGTGAAATTACCCAAGTCTTTCCTGGATTAGCTCCCCTACATTCACGAAAACATCTAGATTTCACTTTAAACCCTGATCAGACAGCACTCCGACTTGAAATTGTTGAAATTACAAATGAAAATGATTGTAATTCATTAGCTAATGTAAGTTCATAATGTGAGCCGTGCCATGATAAAACCAACATAATGCGTTTGCGACCAGCATGGATCCAGACCAGCCTGCGCATTTGCGCAGTCTGATCAGGATCCATGCTTTTCGCTATCAGTTTCTCTACTTGTTATAGTGTTTGTAAGCGAACAGCATGGATCCTGATCAGACTGTGCGGATGCGCAGGCTGGTCTGGATCCATGCTGGTCGCACACGCATTATGTTGGTTTTGTCATGGTGTTGCTCATGTATTTTCTCAGTACCTTTGAATACTATTAGGGTACATAGCTTTTCTCAATATGGAGAGCATTTGGCACAAAAGAAAAAATTCAGAACATTAAAAAAGTATTAATGGGGAAAAAAATAATTGAAAATTACCATAGAAACATTTAATCAAATAGACATTTAATCATATAGTTAGACATTTAAAATCAAATAGACATTTAATTAAATAGTTTGACATTTAAAATCAAATAGACATTTAATTGAATAGTTTTAGACAAACCTAATGTGTTTGTTATATACCCAAAGTTTGATGTACACATTATTTTTAATTATGTAAATTATATTTAAAAAGAATATAAACTCGATTATATGCATTGAATATGTTTATGTTTCCAGATTGTTATGAAAGAATTGCCAGCAGGATCAAAGGTCAACTCAACTTTTCATCTCAGAAAGTATGAAATATTTTCCTTCATCTTCAGTCTTGTTTGCAATAGACTAATTGACAATATTTAGGTTTTTCCCAGCTAATCCGTACATACTAACAAACTTTTACAGTTACAGGTTCGAAAATCAATACAACAGGTTGACTTATCTATTATGACGGGAAGTGCACTGTGAAGCTGTAATGGTAAAAGTTTGTTTGTACCTACAGATTAGCTAGGAAAAAACCCACAATTGTGTCCCATATAACATCTATTGTGTAGCATTAGTAGTCGGTCAATTGTAGAGAAATTGGTAATTACTGGTTCATGATCCACGAAAACTGGTAAGGTGGATTGACCCCTAAGATATTACCAAAAACGTGTTAAAATCACAGTAAAAACCAGTAAAAAAAACAACAAAGTCTTGTTTGAAATTAAACAGCAATAATGACTAGTAGTTGTCACCAGCATAGAGCTAGGCTGGTCTGGACATAAGTACAATTTAACCAGACTCTGTAATCAGAAGCTTACGTTATTATATCTCCTTAATATTGAAAACCAATAAACAGATATACAGTCAAAGCATGACATGTCTGTTATATAACTAGAGCAACATTAAGTTTAATTGATTTCTGTAGCATGTACAGTACTGGTCATTTGGAAATGCTCTATTCTTTACTGATGTATTAACTTAATTGCCTTGGAACTAACATGCTAAAGATGAAAAATGGATGCAGATTGTTCTCTGGTTAAATTAAAGACATGACCTTTAAACAATTGTGGAAGCATAACTCATTTGCTCAAAATTTGCGTAGTTTAACTGTCAGAAATCTGAAAATAAAAAAAAAATCTCAATTTTAAAGGCCTATTATGCCTCAAACATGCTGTCATATTTATTTCACAAAAAAAATTAAATTTTTGGTATCTTGTTTCCAAAAAACATACTCATTTGCTACATAGATGAACATTCTTTGATTATTTTGCCTCGTTGGTAATTGGTATAATTATAGTGAATTAGTATTTTGTATGGAAGTCAAAATACTACTTTTTAGCTCACCTGTCACAAAGTGACAGGGTGAGCTTTTGTGATCGCTTTTCGTCCGGCGTCCGGCCGTCCATCCGTCCGTAAACTTTTACTTTAAATGACATCTCCTCATAAACCACTAAGCCAATTTCATCCAAACTTCACAGGAATGTTCCTTTGGTGGTCACCTTTAAAAATTGTTCAAAGAATTTAATTCCATGCAGAACTCTGGTTGCCATGGCAACCGAAAGAAAAAACTTTAAATATCTTCTTTTAAAAAACCATAAGAGCTAAGAGCTTAGATATTTGGCATGAAACATCTTCTAGTGAGTGTCTACCAAGTTTGTTCAAATAAAAGCCCTGGGGTCAAAATTGGCCCCGCCCCGGGGGTCATTGATTTTCCCTATATGCATATAGTAAAAACTTAAAAAATCTTCTTTTAAAGAACCCAAAGAGCTAGAGCTAAGATATTTAGCATGAAACATGTTCTAATGGGTGTCTACCAAGTTTGTTCAAATAAAAGCCCTGGGGTCAAAATTGGTCCCGCCCCGGGGGCTCATTGATTTTCCCTATATGCATATAGTAAAAACTTAACAAATCTTCTTTTAAAGAACTCAAAGAGCTATGGCTAAGATATTTAGCATCAAACATGTTCTAATAGGTGTCTACCAAGTTTGTTCAAATAAAAGCCCTGGGGTCAAAATTGGCACCGCCCCGGGGGGTCATTGATTTTCCTTATATGTGTATAGCAAAAACTTAAAAAATCTTCTTTGAAAAAACCCAAATAACTAGAGTTAAGATATTAAGCATGAAACATCTTTTAGTGAGTGTCTACAAAGTTTGTTCAAATAAAAGACATGGGGTCAAAATTGGCCCCGCCCCGGGGGTCATTGATTTTCTTTATACAATGTATGTGTATAGCAAAAACTTAAAATCTTCTTTGAAAAAACCCAAATAGCTAGAGTTTAGATATTAAGCATGAAACATCTTCTAGTAAGTGTCTACAAAGTTTGTTAAAAAAAAAGCCCTGGGGTCAAAACTGGCCCAGCCCCAGGGGTGTCATTGTTTTTAACTATATGTGTAAAGTAAAAACTTAAAAAAAATCTTCTTTCAAAAAGCCCAATGAGCTAGAGCTTAGATTAGATGTTTAGCATGAAACATCTTCTTATGGGTGTCTACCAAGTTTGTGCAAATAAAAGCCCTTGGGCTAAATTGGCCCTGCAAGGTATGGGGGGGGGTTGGGGGGCCTATATACAGGTGAGCGACCTCAGGGCCATCATGGCCGTCTTGTTTACATTTTTTTTACCTTTATAACACGTTACTGCACCTTTAAGACACATTACTGCACATTCTGACTTTCTTCAGCTCTTAAACATCTTACATGCTCTAAATCCATTATTAAAACATTATTGAACACATGTTTGACATTTCTAAAAAATTTAATAAATATGGATTTCTGAGGCATAATGTGCCTTTAAAGGAAGATATTGTCTACTGTTTAATCCTTGTTTAATATCTACATTTATGATAACTGTAGACACCTATGTTATGTCTATAAATGAATTTGTCATATATATATGAGCCGCGTCACGACAAAACCAACATAGTGGTTTTGCGACCAGCATGGATCCAGACCAGCCTGCGCATCCGCGCAGTCTGATCAGGATCCATGCTGTTCGCTATCAGTTTCTCTACTTGTTATAGGGTTTGTAAACGAATAGCATGGATCCTGATCAGACTGCGCAGATGCGCAGGCTGGTCTGGATCCATGCTGGTCGCAAACCCATTATGTTGGTTTTGTCGTGACGCGGATCATATATAGATATTGTGTGTTGTTGCAATTTTGAATTGTAATAATTATGAAAATAATAAAATGAATAATTTATGTATTACAGAGATGGTCACCTCCATGTCACATGTACAGAATCAAGTAGCAGTAAAACAGAATCTGTGACTGTGGAGCCAAGTTGATCTATGCCAAAATTTTAGCTTTATCTAAAACATTACTACAATAGTACCAATATTCTAATTTGCCATTTTTTTACACCATCGTTCATCTAATCACCCATTTTCCAGAATTATAATTTACTGTCAGCTATAACCAAGGAAAAAGAGTGCAAATTTTGTTTTAAAAAATTCCATCTTTTTGGTTCTCCTCAAAATAGCTTCATTTTTTCGAATAATAGCTAAGGGAATAAGGAGTCAGTTCATCTTACTATGTGCTATTTTGGGCACATTAAATGAGTCCATTTGTCAGTCTTTGTGATGGCTTGCTAACTGTTACATTATACCTTTGTCATTTTATATTTAAACCAGTAACCCTGCTTCAATACATGTTATGTGGACTTACTATCCATTGAATTTTGCAGGGTTTTAAGGTATATCTATATAAAAACACATAAATTGAGCAGTAAGTAGTTACAAGACAGATTGGACTTACGTATATATAGGCTGGCATTGTGCTATGGTGTTAATAAAGCCAAATCACAATAATTTGGTTGGATATGATATTAAAGCATAGCAAATTGATTACATATCCCCAAACACCCAAATACATACAAATGTTAAATTTTACAGTGCAAAGATTGTGTCATAAGATTTATGTTGAAAATAATATACTTTACTAATTTATTTTTAGCAAACATTTCTTCTCAAATTATCTTAAATATAGGATATAGTTTAAACTTGTTCTTCTATTATTTCTGTGCCTTTCCTGTGTGAAAGATTTACATATATTAATTGTGCTGTATATTTGTTCCAAATGTAGCAAAGGGTACACTTGAAACAATGGAAAGACATTCTGTTGTTGCAAGGAATTAAGTACATCTGTACTTACTGTCAATACTGTATTAGGCTTAGTGTTTGAAAAATAAAAACAGCAAATAAATTTGTATAGTTTTGAAATAAAAATTGTTTGAATTGATAATCTTTTTTGTGTATAAGTAAATAATTAGAGTGGATGAGCTGTACTGATAAGGTGAGATCACTGCGTAGGAGATTGATGGTCTACATGTATAACCGTCGTACGGAATTTTGCTGGTCACGCAGTCATCTTTTAAGGTTGATGTGACCAGGAACAAAATTTTGGAAATCTATGTTTCTGATGTGGCCTTGACATTGACCCCTAACATAGATTTAACCAATTATCATACGAATTATGCATGAAATGATTCTCTGGAGAAGGCAATTATACTAAAAGAAAAACAGTTTAACTGTAACCCTAGCTGCCAAGGGAGGTAATCACTGTGAGGAGTTTGATAGACCCCAGCAAGCCCATATTTGGGAACGAAGTTCAAGGCCACGAGTTTTCCAAGTTCGTGTAAATAAATGGGAACATACATTCTTATTTTAACAAACTAGGGTTTTGAGTTCGCTATACTTGTAAAATATTCATGATTGAATAGAGTATTTTAATGCGGCCAAGTGAATAGTCGCATGCTGCAAATCATCTGTCCTTCACTCCTCTAACTTGCCAGAGATTGTTTAATTTATCCGAGGAAGCTATTCAGCTAGTTTATTGAATGTCCGTTTTAGACCTTGTGCCTGAATTCATGTAGTTTTGCAACAAAGTCGCAATGTAACTTAAATTTATATTTGCAACTTTGCTATTTTAGGGTTTGCATTCATAGTTGCTGGAACAGTAGCTTTTTGTCTTCCTGACTCTTGTCTGAGGATTTATGCAATGCATTCTACTTATAAGAAAGAAAAACTTTCGAAATTTCTGAAGAAAAAACTCATTCATGTACATCTGAACTTTAGAAATACCTAAAATTATCCAAACGATAACAAATCTATGTATGTATAGATATATACATGTATGAATACATTGATAACCTAGACAGTTATGTGATGTAGGGTTATCAGACAATGTAGATTGTGTAAATGAGTACATGACACGGTCCGACCCTGATAACTGACTTTGTATGCTCTTAACATTCATGCTAAACACGTGCTAAAATGATTGACTGCATGCCAAAAAATATGATTTGAAACTACATGTATTACAGTACTTTTCAAGTTTTACACACATTAGGCGTTCATTCCCTTGTTTCTGCTGCGAAAAATATCCTTTCCCACACTTTTATTAAAGTAGTCCCTACATAAAACATAGTAAAGTACATGTAATAAGTACCCTATGTTTTTGTTCATGACAGAAGCTCGCCACTGGTACAGATTCAGACCAGTTGACGCATTCCAGCAATCTAACAATACTAAAATGAAATAGATAAAATAAAATAAAAAACAAAAAATAGTTCCAAACTCACAGCAAGAAAAATGTATTAAACAAACGTAGCACTGTAACGGGATGCCACGTCGGTTTCAACTAACCGCTGTAAAACGTTTCAAGATTTTTTTCACTACAAAAAGAATCATAAATGAAGACATTTTTGCAGTAATTTTGTTTCAAGCTTAGCAGGAACGCAATAGTTGGTATTTTTGCGATTTAAACTCTGGAACCATGGAGCTATACAGTTTGAAAGAAAAGAGCAATTTCTTCGTCACATGTACTGATGTTTTGTCACGTCAGCTTTAGCAAGTACAGTCTCACCATCGGCTCACTTTGTTATCTTAATAACCTATTGAGATATTAACATAAACAAATTAGATATATGAATGAAACATTTATTGTGTTATCGAGCCGAATATCACCGCCATATCATCAGATACCATGCACGAACCGGGGCTGTCTGTTTACCCTGATAAAGGCTAGGTGAGTTAAAAAAGAAAATGTGTAAATATTGTTAAGCCTTGAATATCCAGAGTTCACGGCTCGTATTTATCACTATTTAAGCAGGACATTTTTTTTACTTTAAAATTCGATGTACATACTTTTACAGTGCAATTCGAATTTCCAAGCATCCGTTGCAGCCTTGTGTACAAAGTTTCGTTTGAATAGGTGCAAATTCAAGACAAAAAAAATCACACACACAATTAATGTTTTTAGCTTGTCCAAGTTTCATACTAATACATAACTTCCTATCGAGTGATTTATTTCGTATCAATTCAAAGTAAACTATACAAGCAAAATCACTGTTAGTTATGCATTTAGCCATTTTGTGTAGAAATGTCTTTATTGCTACGTTTTTTTAGTAATACCAGGGAAAGTAACTGAATTATATATTTGAAACCAGCTCAAACTTCACAACTTCTCAAAGTTCATCTAAAACATTAGAAAACTTTAAAATATAAGTGTATAAGCTATTATTTAAATTAGGCTAAGCTGATGCACGGGCGGTATGTCGTGGTATTTTTTATTCTAAATTAAGATAGATTATCTAAAGCAATTAACAAGAATTAGTCTAATTAACTTGTAATTGCTTCAAAAAGATTACGTTCATTCAACTTCGAACGTCACGGAAAAAGTTTGCGTGGTTTTTGCAATAATATTTTGGTTCTAAATGTAAGGTTAAAGCAGGTCGGTAATCAACTTTCTTAATTATTTTGTCGTTTATATCTAAGTTTCTTTTGAAAAAAAACTACGTTCAAAGCACTCATGACGTCACTATATGAGCTCAAAGTGATGACGGTGTTCTCGTTAAACCTTCTATGAATACTGCAAACAGAGACACAGGCAACCCAGAAAATAAGAAAACCGCTCCAGACGGGGATATTGACTATCCTACAAACAATAAAACGGTAGAAGTGGCAATCCAGGATATACATGTATATAAGCATTGGTACTGATGATCTGACAAACATTACTATAGACAGACCAACAAATAGATAATTGAAATTTAGTGACATATTAGATTGACAGAAATAATGGCTATCCAGTGATAATCGCACAGACATATAAATGGACGTATTGACAATTCATCCGACAGACAAACTGAGTTTAAAACAATCCGATAAAATCTTTGGAAATCCACCAAAAAGACGAACGGCAATTCCGATATTTCACTTAAATTATGACAATCCACCAAATGCCACATAACAGCATAACGAAACAGAGACTTTGATATTTCACGAAACACACAAATAAAGATGTTGATATTCCACACGGATACACTAATAATCCAACAAAACTCCGAAATAGATAAACGGATACTTTGACAGTCTAGCAGGCAGACACACGGATACACTGATAAACTACGAAATAGATAAACTCGGATACTTTGACAGCCCAGCAAAAAGACACACGGTGCACTGATTATCTACGAAATAGATAAACAAATACTTTGACAGTTTAGCAGACATACACAATGATACACTGAAACGGATACTTTGACAGTTCAACAAATAGACGCTCGGATGCACTGATAAACTACGAAATAGATAAACGGATACTTTGACAGTCCAACAAATAGACACTCGGATACACTGATAAACTACGAAATAGATAAACGGATACTTTGACAGTCCAACATGTAGACGCTCGGATACACTGATAAACTAAGAAATAGATAAACGGATACTTTGACAGTCCAACAAATAGACACTCGGATGCACTGATAATCTACGAAATAGATAAACGGATACTTTGACAGTCCAACAAGTAGACGCTCGGATGCACTGATAAACTACGAAATAGATAAACGGATACTTTGACAGTCCAACAAATAGACGCTCGGATACACTGATAATCTACGAAATAGATAAACGGATACTTTGACAGTCCAACAAATAGACACTCGGATGCACTGATAAACTACGAAATAGATAAACGGATACTTTGACAGTCCAACAAGTAGACGCTCGGATGCACTGATATCTACGAAAAATAACGATACGAAATAGATAAACTGATAAACTAACGGATACTTTTGACAGTCCAACAAATAGACGCTCGGATGCACTGATAATCTACGAAATAGATAAACGGATACTTTGACAGTCCAACAAATAGACGCTCGGATGCACTGATAATCTACGAAATAGATAAACGGATACTTTGACAGTCCAACAAATAGACACTCAGATGCACTGATAAACTACGAAATAGATAAACGGATACTTTTTGACAGTCCAACAAATAGACACTCGGATGCACTGATAATCTACGAAATAGATAAACGGATACTTTGACAGTCCAACATGTAGACGCTCGGATACACTGATAAACTAAGAAATAGATAAACGGATACTTTGACAGTCCAACAAATAGACACTCGGATGCACTGATAATCTACGAAATAGATAAACGGATACTTTGACAGTCGAACAAGTAGACGCTCGGATGCACTGATAAACTACGAAATAGATAAACGGATACTTTGACAGTCCAACAAATAGACGCTCGGATGCACTGATAATCTACGAAATAGATAAACGGATACTTTGACAGTCCAACAAATAGACACTTGGATGCACTGATAATCTACGAAATAGATAAACGGATACTTTTCCAGTCCAGCAAATAGACACACGGATACACTGATAAAAATATGACAGTTCAACAGGCAGACAGACAGATACATTGATAATTTTCAGAAAAGTCGAAATGGGAATTTTACAATCCATGTATCACACAAACACACACACGCACGCAATTATATTGAAAATTCTGCAAATGGACAGACTTACGGTCAATACAGTTTTGTATACACCAAAATAGTAGAAAGCATAAATAGATCTGAGAGAATTTATTAAGCTTTTTTCTCTCCTTGATCTGACAGCTGGGGAGATGTTTAGATTGTTCTAATGACATTATCTTATCAAACTTACGGGTGAAAATGACAGAAATCAAGCTGATTAGTGTAGAAATACTCTTTATTTCTACATGTGCAATTTTCAATAGGTGTCATAGAAATATATCTAGTTTGTCACGGAATGAATGTTCACAACTTAGTACATATATAACCATTTGTTAAAAATTCACTTAACAACACAATAAACATGTTTTAAGACATAGAATATACTCCTGAAATAAAATACAAACATTTTATCAAAAATAATGACCAGCATTTAAAATATGAGTATTTTAACACAATATATTATTTTATAATTTTGGCAGCGCATTCTGTTCTTTCAATATACTTTACTGGTAAAGTGCAATTAAACACATACAGAAATAAATGAACAGACCGATTGTTTAGTCAAGTCTCATAGGCCCTATCACTGCCTTTTTACATATCATTTGCAAGATATCACGTGACTGAAATTTAATATACGTGTAGGTGTTATAGAAGATAAGAATTGTTGAGAACGTATGCGCCCATTGTCCGAGACTTGAATTAGCATTCAAATGCTGAACTGTTAGATTGACGTCTAATTTCAAGATTTTTGACCTTGAACAAAAGTGTCTTCGAAGTGTGCATGTCTGCTCTTAAAATTCCATTTTAATGGCATCATTAACACAACATTTAAAGCACAATTAATTAGTTCTGATACAAATGCAAAATACACAATGCGCATTAACATCGTCAACAACAAAAAGAGCCGTAATAGTAGCTGACGTTAAAAGGAAGAGGAAATAGGTCCTTGTATGTACTTAATCAGCGTTCAGAGTCAACATTCACTTAAAGTGAGCCTGCTTTGCTACGTACATCACACACTGGCACTTTCAAACACATATATACACTATTGCTGCCCTTAATTGTGTTGTGATATTTGAGCTATACTCAATTATGCTTGCTGAAATTAACCTTGACCAACACTCCGATGTTTGTCCAGCGCTGACCGAAATCATTGGCATAGATTCGGTTTAATTAAATTAGGCATTCCTTTACGCGTTGTAATTTGCAACCTAAATACGATTATGGCTAGTCAAGAAAATTGATCCAATTCATGAAGGCTCGGAAATGGTACGTGACACATATGCTTAAAGAATATAAACGTATCTTGAAAATTAACTTTTTTGCTTGTGGAATAGTAATGAAACCCTATTCAAATCATGCTAGGCAATTTAAATTCAGAAGAGCACAACCGCATGGAAATTTTGTCAGTGTGAATAACCTTTAATTATACACATGAACTTCAATTATTAATTACTTTTTTGTATCCATCTTCATATTGTATGTAAATGTAAATAGTTTAAACAAATGTATATTAAATTGTTCGCATTGAAAAGGCCTCGTATTTTGAAATCTAATTTCTTATTCTACAAGCGATTCTGTTGTTATTTCAATGCAGTTTTATTTGCAATTCTATTACATACGGGCGCTTGGAGCTTTTTTTTATTGGAATGTCGAAATGAATAAAAATTTATTAAATGTTCATTATGTTAAAATATGATATTTCCTATGAACCGTTACGTTTTCTATGAACTTTAAGATGTTTTGATAAATGGTCGGACCTTGAAAATTTCTTTTCGCAAATTTTACATTGGTAAGGTTTAATGCCAGAATGAGACCGTTTGTGCCGCGCGAGCTCGTCAGAACGCGAGAACCGCCATCCACATCCGGGCCACGTGCAGCTGAACGGTTTCTCTCCAGTATGACGTCGTAGATGGGCTTTTAGATGCGATGATTTGCTGTAAACTTTGGCACATCCGGCGTACGTGCAGTGAAATATTTTGTCGTCTGCTGTCGGCTTGGCGCAACTGTTGCTGCTACGCGACACTTGGGTTTTCATAGTTCGAACTTTAACAGCATTTAAAAAAGATGTTTGAGTTAACAATGAGTTGGCATTGGTAAGAGTATATTGGGGATGGATTTGAGCACGTGGCAGGACAATCTGCGGGGGACGGGGAAACTGGTCAATCATAAGATCCTGCGGATTTTGCGAATTCTGAGTGGTTGCCTTCGCTGCATACGTATGCATTAAACTTTGAAGACCGACACCCAGCACAACGAAGTCTTGACTTTCAGTCGGGAAAACATCACTCGAGTCGGAATCGGAGTCACTACTCGAAGTTTCTTTTGGCAAATCAGCGAGTAAACTATTGCAATAGCTGTCACAAAATGACGTCACTTTTTCATTGTTTTTATTCACAAACACTGGATTAACGCTACTTGGCTTTTCAATAGAGTCTGCCAGGCCTTGTGAAAAGAGATACTCTAAATACATTTCATCGTCCATAGAGTCTAGGTCCCATACACTCGAAGATGGACTCAAGTTTTTAAAGTCTTCCATATTGGTTTCCATCTCCTCGCCGGCGGAGTTAAGTCGTTGTAATGTATATTGTTCACGCTCTAGGCTACTACATAGAGGCAAGAAATCTTCCATTCTTTCTTGCACTGGAAATTCATGGTTTTGTATTCGCACTGCCCTCATTAGTAAAATAGCCTGAAATGATATAAATACACATAGTGTGGTTTACCAGTCTATATTAACAGCTTTCATATACTAGTTCAACTGTTTCAGAACTGACTTTGGAATCACACAAACTTTGCCTTATACATCACTGGCTATCTTGGCATCTTTTTTACAAAACCATGGACATTTAGGAAATTTTCATTTTTGTTTTTCATAAAGGTCGTTGTACAATGCTACAGCGTAAAACATCGTCGGGCTTGCGTAGAAAAAAAACAGATTCGAGGCAGTTGCTTATTACGTTTCAATCTGGACATAACCATTCTCTTTTAGGAAAATAACAGTACTGGATGATGACTAAATAGCGAACAGTGCAGGCCATGATCAGGCAAAACGCACGTGTCAACTGATCTTGGTCTGTAATGGTCGCATTGCAAATTTAATGCAATTGCTTCCGGTAGGGTAAAGTTTAAATATAACAGCTATTACTTAAATTTTGTTTTTCTTTCCTGGTAATATTATGAATGATGGAAATAGCAATAAAGACAAAAAAAAACGAAAACTGCTCATCACAAGCATACAAAGTTTGCATAATAGTTTGCCGTTCGTATATTAAATGAAAATTGATGGTTTACCCTACACTTGCAGTTGATATATCTTAAAATGCAAAAAAGTAATGTTGACTAAATGATAAATCGTGTAATATGCAATGTTAAAAGGGAATTTTTACTATATTCAATGGAAAGATTTAGTTTTAAAAATAAATTAGCAAAAATAAATTTTGTAAGCATTTTTCATACAGAAAATACAATGCGTAAAAAAGTGCTTATGCTTATCAGCAATATATATATTACAAATAAACGAATTGAATTGAATTGAATGTCAGCAATACAAAAGAACGTCCGTTTTATGAATTATACTTTCAAATCATTAAAGTTTTCAGAAATTCATCGTTTAATATCTATTATCTTATTTCTACGTCATTTTAAAGTTCAGAATAGTTAAATAAGATGTCGTCTGCAAGTTTTACTTGTACAACTTATCATAGGTGCATGCATAATTTACTCATTAATGTTTGTTTATTATTAATTTACTATTTTAATTGATGCATATCATTTGAAATAAACATCTTACCACAAAAATGTTAATCACCGACAAATAACTAATTGTTTTGTCCTATGTTGTGAGCAACGGGGAAGTTAAAAAAACTACAAACCTGTCTAAAGCTTTAACTCCATTATTTCAACCATTCACAAAAGTCATATATACATATATACGAACAGTCAGATATTTTACTTTTATGTAAACAATCAAATATGGTAATAAAAAGTAGTTACATACTCTTTACTATTTTAACAAAATGTGAGTTAGCGTAGCGTAGAAAGTTTACCAACTAACCTAAGCTATACTACAATCCGCACAGCGATTTGCCCGTCGGCAAAAGTGAGTATGAAAACTAAATTGTTCAAGATGCAGTAATAATTATTAACGTTGATTTTCGATTGTTTTACAGCATGAATGAATCTGAAGTGTGCTTGTGTTAAAGTTAAGTAGGCAATACACGGTCTCTCTTATCCGACCGCAGTTAATACTTAGATGGTATACGGTATAATTAGTACGACCATGTGACGGGACTGCGGAGTGGGTCATAGTCCGCATCATTTACATATACAACACATAGTTTACCTTCTCTAATCTTTTAATGCAACTACAGGCAAGTTCAAATTATCTTATTTAACTTTTGATAAATACTAACAAATTTTACAATGTTCTTATATAATGAATTTATAAATAAATTTGATAAAATATAACGAACACTGCCGAAAGAATTTAATACATAAAAATACTTTTATCACTTTTTCACCCTGCTTAATTAATCTCACTTAAATGTTTAGATTTTAAAAGCATACAACAAAATCATGTATTACATTTACAAAATTTAGATTAAGTGGAGAAAAATGGTTATTTTATTTGAAATGCAATCATATATAAATCAGTGAATGATTATGCAGCGACCCGAAGATCAATTACAAGTTAACTTTACCAAACAATTTGTCAAAATGGCATATCATTAGTCGCCGTTCACATATATAGTATTTCTTGTATTTTAATTTAATGTCACATAAGATACAGCTTGAAGTAAAAATGTCACATAAAGAATTGCTTATAGAGTATTGCTTGTAATTTTAGTGTCACATACAGTATTTCATGTACTTTTACTGTCACACAAAGGATATTGTTTGTAGTTTTACATGGAGTATTGCTTGTAATTTAACTATAATTAAACTGTCACGTATTGAGTATTGCTAACAGTTTTACTATCACACAGAGTATTGCTTGTACTTTTACTGTTACACAGAATATGGCTCGTTATTTTACTGTCACAAAGAGTATTTCTTGTAATTTTACTGTCACAAAGAGTATTGTTCGTTGTTTTACTGTCGTAATTTTACTGTCACATAGAGTATTTCTTGTAATTTTACTGTCACAAAGTGTATTGTTCATTGTTTTACTATCGTAATTTTGCTGTCACATAGGGTATTTCTCGTTATTTTACTGTCACAAAGAGTATTGTTCGTTATTTTACTGTCGTAATTTTACTGTCACATAGAGTATTTCTTGTAATTTTACTGTCACAAAGAGTTTTGTTCGTTGTTTTACTGTCGTAATTTTACTGTCATATAGAGAATTTCTTGTAATTTTACTGTCACAAAGAGTATTGTTCGTTGTTTTACTGTCGTAATTTTACTGTCATATAGAGAATTTCTTGTAATTTTATTGTCACAAAGAGTATTGTTCGTTGTTTAACTGGCGTAATTTTACTCTCACATAGGGTATTGCTTGTACTTTTTCTGGCACTTGAAAATTTCTACACCCACGATTGAACTGAAAGAACTTGTCATCTTCCATCTTGACACAGTCCATTGTCAGTTCAAGGGATACAAAGATGATAATTATTTTAGTTAGTCAGCCAACGATAAAAATAAGAATGTTTCGACTGGCCTGGTTCTATATATATACTTGTGACAAATGCTTTGTCAGGTCGGTTTTCAGTACTACAGTGATTATAATGACGTTCAAACTTAGTCTGCTTAAATTTTCACTTGAGCAATTATCATTTGTGTTAGATGTTCATTTAACTTTAATTCGTCTGGTCGTACACGTGTGTTTCATATTCCATCCTGCATTCAAAAATATGCATGTTATATTTTTTTACAATAAATTGGGAATGCATTTAATGTGCGATAATTGTAATATTACATTATGTCCTAATATCTGATCCAAAGCATATAATGCTAATGACCTCAGCGTATTTTTAACATATCGAAAATTTTACAAAAAAGGGAATATATTTAAACTTACGCTAAATCTTTTATTAATGTTAGACACCTCATAGCGGGTTCATGCAAACTAGTGTCATAATTATAATGCTGGAAAAATAAATACAGCCCATGATAATCTGTTGAATCGGTATGTTTAACATTTAATAAGATGATTATATGTTCATATTGCAATGTTCATATTGCATACAAGGTGTTTAAATAATGTGTTTTCTCAACGGATGAACTCGAAGAAATGAAAACAAAAAAGCGCTTTGTTAAATATTTATATATTTCTTAAGATTCGTTGTATCATGTTTTAAAAGTTAAGTACAAAGTGAGTGATCGTGCTTCATAATAATCATTAAAAGAATTATCGTTAAGGGTTTATACGATAATGATTATCGATATGTATCTATACATATCGTTACATCAACGATTTTTCGAATATCTACCAATAACATTGCTTTTGGTATACGTTACTAGCATATCCGTATGTTTTCTTATGTATACAGTATAAAACCAGTTTCACGATAAATCTTAACAAATTCATGAATTTTATTTTTTGTACGGACAAATTAATAAGATATTTTGAGGTCATAACATGGCCATTGAACGGTTGGCCTCTGAACGATTTAACAATACGTACATGTATACACATTCTGTTTTCTAAACAATATTTTTTCCGTTCAGAGAAAATATTCAAATGTCGGTCTTTAGAATAGATCTCAATTGCATAAAAATGTCAGTCTTAGATTCAAAATACCGATATAGATTTAATGTCGATTATTTGTTAAATTATCGATATCACAATATTGTATCTTTGTTTCAAGATTTCAAAGGTTTCATATTCGTATATACATGTACAGGAAAGTAAGGTATTCTAGTTTGATCGCAAAATTGTTGACATAGTACACAGTTTTTGAGAAAGATATTTCGTGTGCATCAATTTTACATGAATTTTACATGAATTTTACATTTTCTGTGTGTGTATAGCCATGGATCACATGTATTGAATGTTTGTTCAAACTTTTCCGTGTTTAATCAGAGATATAGACCCCAAATCGTAATCAAATTTAACAGTTATCTATAAGGCCATGTTGCTACACGTCCCGGAATGATATTGGCGGATAATTGATCTAACTAATTAATTAGATTCATCTTCAAAACAAAAGGATACAGCTTTGCGTTATATAGGTTAGTCTTAATCAGGTTAACACAATTAAGGGACGAAAAGTTCCTTAAACATTTACTGCAGATGACTTGTCTTCTTCTTGATGTTGTTAATTGAGCCGCGTCACGACAAAACCAACATAGTGGGTTTGCGACCAGCATGGATCCAGACCAGCCTGCGCATCCGCGCAGTCTGATCAGGATCCATGCTCTTCGCTATCAGTTTCTCTTCTTGTAATAGGGTTTGTAAGCGAACAGCATGGGTCCTGATCAGACTGCGCCGATGCGCAGGCTGGTCTGGATCCATACTGGTCGCAAACGCATTTCGTTGGTTTTGTCGAGACACGGCTCAATTGATTCGCATCAAAAGATTGAACCGGACAGCCATAAATATAGAATCTCGTCTGTCAGACTACTCGGAAGATCTGGCTTGGTTTTTTTAATCATCTTGCCCGAGTAAATGTAATATGTATACACGTTTGTATCTAATTTAAATTTAACTCCAAATATGCCTTATATTATTTCTGTACAAACAAGTGATGGCACATAATTGTCAGCGTTAACTTCAGGCTAACGTGATACAAATAATTAATTCAAGTATAATTAACAACTTCGTATTGTTGATGTCGATTTAAAAAAACATCGTTATAGATGCTTTTCACATAACACGCCCTATCACTTTTAATAAAATGAAAATGTGTAAATGAACTTGTATCATCTATTTACTGTACTTATTTCCATACATTTTGAAAAAGACCCCTGCCATTCCCTACCCCCACATACACATATTAACACCCTGCCACTTTTGTCAAGGGGGCTATATAGTGTAACACGCGGGTACTTTCTGTAACAAGTGTTTGAAACATAAAGTAACTTATACTATGAGAATGTGTTTAGTGTAAAACATTTCCTACAATGAACGAAACCTTCGTGATTGGTCTTTAAGCTATAATATTGTCAGATAAACGCACTTTCTAAATTGCATGATATTACTTGCAAATATAATTATAATGATATATTTATCATAAACACTTGCTCTTGCACGCTACTCATTCATATACATAGTTTTAAAACCAAAACTAGTGCAGAGCATAAAGTCAATTTAAATTTTTAGCCGTAAGTAATTGTGACTATATAATTATGTAACTTTATTTATATACCTTTTTCCAAAGCCAGATTTCTGATGAAAATAGATAAAATACGTCAATTTACATATTCATAATCTAAGGGATGGTAATAAACTTTTGTATCTAAAATATCTTAATAAACCCTGAACGCGTTGAATTTGTGCTTGCTTTGAGTTGAGAACAGTGCATTTGAAATTTACGGGATTTCAAAATCAAAATATGGGACAGTATAGAACATAGATGGGTCTATAACATGCTAGTTGTGCTTGAAGGTTTCCGTTGTGTTTCGTTGACGAACATGTTCTGTATTGAATTAGGAAATGTCCACAGAAGTAATCGAACAGTTAACAGTATAGTAATGAATCCGGATCCGAATGCGCTTTGCAAGTACTTGACCAGGTTCTTTATACTAGAAGATGGCAGAGGATGTGTTACTCTAAAAAAATGCGATAAGTTGAAACTAAACGCGATCTGGTGAAATTTAACATAGTAACCGTGACTTGTGTTATAAAAGTAATTTGACCCTTGGGTTCACGTCTTACAGTTAGCAACGTTTCACGGTACTGCATAGAGACGTATACGAATCATCAGCAACGGTTCATCGATATATGATGCCGCAAGTTATTTTTTGTTATAAAAATATTTTAGTTCATCATGTTTATTTACTAAACTAGTTTAAGTTACGGTCGAAAAAGCGATTCAGATATAGGTGACGTGTACTTAGTAACGTTAAAAGACGTACAGATGGATCATTTGTTCTTATATAATTTGAAAAAATAGTTAATCAAAATTGCAATGGGCACTGGGAAAAAATAAATACAAGCGGTGATAAAGAATATTTTCTTTTATATCTATGCAAAGTATGAAGTATTCAAATGGTTCAAAATACTAGCATTCGGTGTTAAAGGGACTCTACTTATGTTTAATGATATGAAGGAACTGGAAATATTTTTCGAGATCTTATACCATTTGCTGCGGATCCATACTAATAACTTGCATGCAAAATTTCAGATCATTTGCTTATT